TGACCATACCCCTCCCTTTTTAACGAAAAGGGAATCTGACCTGGGAATCCAGCTGACAGCTCAACAATGGGAAAACATCCTTCATTTTGCCCATAAATCCTCCATTGCCACCACACACTAGGAGACCAGTTACAAGATACTCATACAATAGTATAGAGTCCCTGCCACTCTCATTTGTATTTCCCAACAAGCCTCCAGTGACTGTTGGAGACGTGGAGGTGTCCTGGGCACTATGTTCCACATATTCTGGCAGTGTCCCACAGTTCAGCCCTTTTGGCATGAGGTTACAGATGTTATTAGACAGCTTACGTCAGTAGATGTGAGCAACAAACTGGCTGCCTACCTACTTCACCTGTACAATAGACCTGTCAAGAAATACAAAACCTCTTTTAACAAATACCTTTTGAATGCAGTGAAGGTGTGTGTTTTTCTTTGGAGGAAACAAACATGTCCACCCACAAAATCTCATTGGTTTGCGAAGGTCAATGAGATCATGGACTGAATACTGAAGAGACCTTCAGGTCCACATGGATGCCTAGGAAGTACCTCTCCTTCCAAGGAGTACCTCTTGGTTCCATCCCTCTTTTCATCCCTATTCCCCATGACTCCCTTCACCCCTTTTCCCTCCTCTTTTCCTGACTTCAGGCCCCAGAAGTTTACCTTTGAGTGTGTCTAACTGATCCAATCTTTTATTAATGTATTATTGGCAATGTTGGAAGACTCACTCATGTATGTAACCGATTGTTACAACTTTGTTCTCTGTGTTCTGTGACTTACATTATTAATAAAGTGAATTACAAAAAAAAAAATACAAAGAATAGAGTACAATGTTTTGGAGTCACTCAGGACACCTTTGTCAGGCATGTGACATGATGTGCTAATTTTTCAGTAAAACTTTTTGGACGACATTTGATGATCCGTGCTGTTCTGGCAAATATGTACATGGCTGTATAACTTAATTTGTAATGCAGTGGTATGGCCTTCCAGAGCTCATACTGCTGATTATAAAAAGAGACACATTTCTGAAGCTAATGCCATGAGGCCTACCTCTCCTACAACCAAAGAGCTATGTCTGCTGCATTAATCTGAGACACCTCTGTGACATACAGCAGGCTTCACATCATGGCCTGCATTTTATGAATGGGCTGTAAAACATAGGTTTCAGTGTGGGTGTATTACTACAATATATAGCAGAAAGTGGAGAAAGTGAATAACGATATCTTCTCTCTATTAGAAAAATGTTTGATTTCAGAAAATCACAGCTGATGCTCCTAACCTATTTAACAGCTTCTATCTTGGGCTATATATGATTGTCTTAGCAGAAATGATTAGAGGCTAAAGAATATATGTCAGAGATAAAATGTAAAATGCACTTTTTTCAAGGATTCCAAAACAACATTTTGTAATATTGTGCAAATATTATATTGGGAGAAATTGATTTGTTTAAGACTGTCACCTTAATGGTTATTGCTTACCTACTGTACATCTGTAAACAGATATTTATGTAATGGTACCTATAGACTTACAATAGCTGGCAGAAGAATGTGACCATCACACAATCATTCTGTAGAATGTTTGGGGCTTAAGCATCTACAATAGTCACTTATATCACTTATATCCCATAGAAACATCCCCTGATGTAAACTTATTAGTGGGGAAAATAGTGACTGTCCAGGAAAATCCATTTTGAACTATGACTATTTGTGCAATAAGGGACAGACAACTTGTAAGATGAAAAGCACCAACATGGTAAGTTAATCCATAGCTCAGCTTTTGGCTGCAGTGGAGAAGAAGAAAAATCAAAGAACAGAGCCCAGATGGTGCCCACTTCAGCATGAGGATTATTTCAGGGCTCTGTTAGCATTTTTTGAATGGGATCAGCATAATTAGCAATGGGCCCAAAGTATTCTTTCTTTGCTTCAGATATGCTTTAAATTGGAAAATATTTTAATAATCTTTGGGCTACATAATTTGGATATTTTTAATCTTAATGACATTCCTGTGAAATTTCTGCATTGAAATAAAAGGAATTTGTTTGTGCACCCACACCCATGCAGCCTAGCTATTCAAACTTGTATGCACATTTACTATAGTTGCTGGTATACATGGTGTCTTGTTCTCTACTTGACTGCTCAAAATAATTATGGTATTCTGTATTATAACTGTTATTTTAACAAGTCATTTAAAATGTTCAATGCTTGATTAGAAAAAAAAATAAAGAATTAAAGGTTCTCAACAAACCTGGTGGCACCTGCATTTTCAATATACATATATATATATATATATATATATATATATATATATATATATATATATATATATATATATATATATTGTATACACACAGATACTACATGGGTAAGCTTGCAGTTAAATTACATTAATCTTCAAGCATATTGGACATACTGCTATGAAAGGATGTATTATAAGATAGATCCACAGGGTGATGCTGTTCTGCCAAGGCCAAGACATTAGCAAAACACTGAAGGAAATACCTGGAAAACAAAGTCAACTATTCAACTTCCATAAACCAGTGAAATGAAAGAAACACTGAATGTAACATTTAAGCTGCTGATGATATCTGGAGTAAATGTATTGGCCAGCACATGATAGATTGCAGATTTTCAGCACCCAGTGACTTTTACATTATAAAAGATAATTTGAGAAAGATAAAAAGAACAAATTATAGAAAAAAAACATTCCCACATTGCAAATTAATCTAATCTGTTGAAGACAAGCTGATGGTGAAAATACTAGGAAATGTTTACTTGGACTAACTTTTCTGTCTTACACTGCATAACAAATTGCAAAACTACACAGTTTCTAAATACTTTTCTAAGTGGTCTGCAAATACATATAGTATATATAAAAGCTTATCATCACTTCCTTGTGTATTGCTTTTAGCAGCATGAACACCAAAAACATTTCATAAATATTTAAACACCATTGAACAGATAGTTGACATACTAGTAAAATGGTGGACTGGTCTTTAAAAGTTTCTGAGAAAAGTTGAATATGTATTTAACATTTTTAAACAGATGATAGAGAGAAAAGAATAGAAAAGATAGAAAAGGATATACCAAAAATAATTTCATACACCTCTGTGATAGTGCCAAGCTAGTTAACCAATTTTTTTTTCAGAATCTATATATATTGATAAATGGCAACTGAACAAGTGGAGAATGAATTCTGCTGCTGAGCTGTTGAACGTGCTTTTCTAACTAGGACAAAAATATGTAGTTGAACAAAAGTACATCAATTTAGCAATGATTTACATAGCTAATTATTTCAGCCCATTAAAAATTGCCTCTTAAAGTTTCGAATGCTCTCCAGAATACATTTATTAAGACTTGGTACTGGTTCACATATATGCGGATTGGATGTGGTTTGAACTGCATCCAATCTGCATGACATGTGAAAAAACATTGCTTCCTATGGTGCCTATTCACACAAGTCCAATGCATTGGCGGTTCGGATTCAGTATGGTTTGAAAAACAGTTATGTACGATTTCTGAGCAGTGCCTTCTTTCATGTGCGGAGTACAGACTATTGACTTCTATGGGAACCGTTTCTAAACCGTGTATGTGTGAACAGGATAAAGTCCTGAGCTAATCCTGTCCTGAACCTGATGTAAACCTGACATGAACTGCTGAACAACTACTGTATCAGCTAGCTGTGAAACCTGAAATTTAGTCCGCATCCCACATGTGTGAATCAGCTGTAAAGCTGAGAATGCGGTTGGGCTAGTTTCTTTGCAAAAATGGGAAGTAGGCATTGATCATCACTCATGTTATTTGGCTTTTATTTTTAGTAATCATGCAGTCAGCACTAAATTTTCTTCTCCTGCTCCTGCTTCCATTGCTGTTTGTGTGGTTTCTTTATCTTCTAATGCGCAGAAAAAATGGTCTACACAGAACTTCCAGAGGCCAGCAGGTATTAATTTTAAATGTAAAGTTTCGTAAACAATAGTAGTCTTTCTGGTCTCTGGAAGTGTACATGAACACCTTTCCATGCAGTTGGCATATGCAGCTGGAAAAGCTTGTGGAGTCGGAAGCATACCAGGGGTCCACGTGAATGTGATCCCAAAGCGGCAGCGTATTTCTCTCCTTTGGCTGTCCCTGCTTACCTCTTTGCCCTGATGTGTGCACCTTTGTGTTATTCATGTGCTAAGGTGCACAATGCAACCTACAGCCTGTTCGCCCATTATAGCATTTGTTTGGCTCATGCTTGTAGTACTTTGCAGTGTGTCTTTGTTGCTGATCTTGATTGCTTGAAATCATTTAAAGTCTGTATAAACGTTTTTTTTCTAAGCCCTAACTGTGACCCTGCTACATTGGCTTTGATGATGACCTCCAGATTCTGACCTCAAGAGCTTTGTCCACCTGGCCTACTTTTAAAGGAACACTGCTCTGGGGCTCTAAAGAAGTTGCTATTACTACTACTTCTACCACTGTTACTACTACTACTACTTTTTCACTACTACCTTAACCTCCCTAGCGGTCTGATTATGTCAGTATTTCTGTGCTCAAAGCCGTACATTGTTTTCAATGGAAATATGTTGTTTTTTTATTGTAGGCCTGTAATTCTTAGGAATAACTCAATGAAATCTGTCCAAACAAGAGTATAGTAAACATCCCGGGTATGATAAACTTTGAAACACGATATCATAAATTATAATATAATAAATAATCATAAAAAATAATAATAAATTGAATTCAATAATGTAATCAAACTAAAAACAGAAATAGAGCACCAAATTCGCACATTACTGAGCTTAGTCGCAAAATCGTTTTCAGTATCTGATGACGAATTTCCCCACGAATTATTATCACTCAATTCTGCAAGTGGTTCTAATTTACTGTCACTGTTCTCTAGCTGGTCTAAAACCGATTTTGCCCTAAAGGAACACTTTTTTTGAACTCCATGAACATTTCTCAGTTTCCAGGCATAAAGAACAGTAAAAACGCAGGCAGGGCACAGGACAAAGCACTAGGGACAAAATGTATGTGAAATGGTTTGATACAGTAATGTAATACTATGTGATTTTAGTGTATTTAGTGAATGTCACTTTTTTACATTTTTGAATTTCCTGCCAGTTCCATCCCCCATACATCCCGTATGTCCCCACGCTCACAGGGAATGGAACCTGGAACACGGATGCTGGCATCGGCTGGAGGAGATGGCCGGGGACGCTGCAGGGGGGACATCGCGGGAGCGCAGGACAAGGTAAGTGCTGGAGGGATCCCGGAGCAACACTGCAGAGTAATCCTGAGTGTAGCTCGGGGTTAACGCTTCTGGTACTGAAAGTTAATCCCGAACTACACTTGGGAATACCGCCAGGGGGGTTAAAGCTGAAGTCAATTGTTTGATTCAATCACAGACTCTGACACAGCTTGCTTTGAAGATTGGATAAAATCCTCAACTGTACATAGTGCTTATATTTGGAGTATAAAACTCATTTCCCTATCCAAGTTCTCCAAAAATAAAAACAACAAAAATAACACCCCTAGACTGGATATTGAAGAAATGTGTGAATGAGCCTAAGTGCCTGGCTGTGGGGCAAGGTAATTAAGAGGGATCTGGACAGTGTTCCTGCGGCTCCTACGGGAGTAGCGTACATTTACTTATCCATTAACAAATCATTCTATCGATCACAATACTTAATGCCATAAAAAAATAAAGATTAGTAAAAATTGATGAAATATTAAGCACAAGAGTGAAAACAAAAAAGAAAAATATGCCAAGATTTTAAATAAAAGAAAAGAAAAGCAAATGTACAGGTAAAAAATTAAATAAATGGAAGGTGGTCTACCAGTTTTAAGATATGGCGGCTATGTTAGTTTTTTGGGGGTTTTTCAGGCTAAATACATTTACAGCAAGAGCAAAAAATACCTGTCGACCTTGCCAGAAATCTATTTTTTTTTTTTACTTCCTATGCACTGAACTGAAATATTAAACAATCTTGTCAGTCCTCCCAGCTATTTTCTCTGAAAGTGAAGGGAGATGTTTATAGTCCAAGCAAGAAGAGCAGCCTAGGTTGACAATGATACCATTGATTAAGTAGGCATTGTCACCCTAGGATAGGTAGTGTGTTACTAGCAGGATTACCAGATGAAAATAAAGAGAAAAAGGCCTAAAAAAATAAAACTAATGCAGTCACCACCTCTAAGAACTAATAAGCTGAGATTTATAAATTTGTTTTTGGGTTTAAATACACTTTAATGTATAGGTCTGCTTTTATATAAACTCTGTCCTACAACCCTGCCCTTTCAAGCTAAAGTGCATTAACAATCCTCCAGCTGCTTACATATGTAGCCACCCTGCCTGCCCTAAGCAAGGATGACTATCAAAATGCAGTTTGTTGAGTAGTAGAAAGCTCAAGTCTGTCCTCATTTTGTCCCCTAAGCTCAGTGTTGCTGTTGTTACTCTCTGCTCTAGCAGGTTTCGCCGGTACCTCTGTCAATATAGTGAAAAGCCACATTAAAATAGTTATGAATATTTATGTTTCCACCAGCCAACTACAAGGAGGTTTATTGCCAGTGGTGCATGCTGGGTGAGGGATAAATATCTGGGGCTGGACTTATTAGGCTCTTCCCCTTGGGCTGTGTGTTATGCAGCTGTATGACTAAGCCTGGGGCCTAGAGATCTTTGCAAGTGCTTGGCACTAGAGCCTAGGAGGAGAATAAGTCTGCCTGTCCAGTATGATTCTTCTACTGGAGGCCTTGGGCTCAGAGAACCTGGCAGAGGACAGGAATCTGCAAGAAAAAGTGAAGTCTGGGATAGATTAACAGAGGTGACTCTGTAGTTGGAGATCCTGAGGAACTCACAGATAGGATCATTAAGGCTTTAGTACTGAAGATGTTGTTTTTCATGGAAAAGGTACAGGTTGCTGGTTTCAGTTTAAAACATGGAGTGCTGCAAAGATGGAGTCTGTGAGTCTGAAAGGCAGTAAGGGTGTTCTGAATTAAATACCACTCTCTCTCATTTGTTGCTCCAAGAAATAAAAAAGACCGTAAAGTGACCAGTGACCAGTTGCTATAAGCATCCCACCCCTCAGCCATAGACTCAGTCCCGGCAAAAATGCAACCTACCTTGTTTCTGGGGGTACCACACATGCCTCCAGAGGTCTAGATGTAATCCACTTATCTCTTTTGAAAAAGCTGGAGCCTCCCCTGATGTTTGAAGCCTGTGCTAACTAAATTATCTTTAGTGCCAGCCATTTCAAATCACCATTAATTTCAAAAGTTATGTATGATCTATCTTGAGGATCTCCAGTCTTGATATATGGTCCCATTTGAGAGCCAGACGCTGACAGTTCAAGCGACTGCTAGTTCTCAATCCCAGTGACTATTTGGAACCAATTAAAGTGGTTCCAAATCATAGAAACACTAGTATGGGGTTTAAATGTCACATGCTGACACTGGTAAAATTGACCTTGATATCTAGGCATCAATGACCTATTGTTATGGAAAGGTGAAAGAAGGAGAAACATTTATCTAAGTAATTTTTCTTCAGAGAAGTGTGGCTGAGTAGACTCAATTCACAACGCTTTTGACAGAAGTTCTTATTTTAGCCAGGTGACTGTAATTTTCAAATCTCACTGGACTTAGCTAAAAATAACTATCACGTTTTTTTTTACATAACTGTACATATCCTGGTGTGTTAGCTTTGTGAATTGAGCCTATTGCATATAATATTATGGAGTTAACAGGAGAATAACTATAACCAAAGTGCACATATAATTTCTCTAAACACAATAAACCAAAGAAGCATATAACTCTAGTTCGAATTTATCCCTAGGGCTGCTTGGTAATTCTGCTGTTCACTGTAACTGTCAGGTATTATTTTTATTAAGAATTTTTTAATGCAATCGTTCAAGATTAGTCTGAATCGGCAGTGTGGACAATCTTTGCAGTGTGAAAAATCTTTACGACAAAATATCAAGATATCAGGTGTAAATAGGCTTTTATAAGGTATTTTCTAAAGACAGTTGGTGAAATTGGCATTGCGAATATTTACATAAATTACAAATGCTGCATTCCTTTGCACATACTTTATATTATTCTCTGCACTACACTGTGTTACTGATAATAATCTGTAGAATTTTCTCTGGCCCTTACTAACTGTGTTAACTGTTAATGTAAGCACCTTAGTTAGTTGATATGCTAATTTATTTCATGTGACATTAACACATTGTGCAAAATGTATGAATATGTAGCAGTTAGTAGGAGTTATAGCCTAAGCCAAACAATAGATCCAAACCCAGATGTATGCATTAAGGCTGGTTTGCTGAAGGAGCTGGGAATGTTCATATAAAAATGTGTGTGAATATTCATTTTATTTATCCAGTCATGTGAAAATGAAATATATACACTGGGAGTTTCTATTCACATGCTTTGACTATTGAATTTATTAGGCTGATTTACTAGTTAAGAGTCTTGACTAAAAAAGTGTGTAAATATTCATTGCATTTCATGTGAAAACCTTCTTCTTGATCCCTTTGAATACACACTCATGCTTTTTACACGAATGGATTGTTGAAGTGAATATTCACACAATTTTTTCAATGAAGATTCCAAAATGCTTCTGTAAATCAGCCTCGTTAAGTAAACAATTTCAACTCCTTTAGTAAATCAGTCTCATTGTTTATGGTTCAAATGACCAGGAGAGGATGCAATCAGAGAATTATTGCCAAAATATTTAATTTGATATCAGCCATGTTGTTCATGTTCTTCATTAAAAGTGAACATATCTATATATGACAAGAGAAAACTATCATTCTGTCACTTAATGCTAAGCAGGAGTTACCATATAAGACACATGTCTAGGCTGCTTCCTTTTGTGCATATTGGTTGCATGCCATATACTGTATATCCTTTTAACATCCTTTGTAATGATCCAGTGCAGATTGTCTGTCTTCCCAGTAGCTTTTATTCTTGCAGCCTTTTGGTGAACAGCAAACATTTGTCATACATATCTTCCCTCAAGGCACAACTACAGGAGTGATTTCTATAGTAGCTTTCCTAACAGATTGCAATGAATGGAATCCATCTGGGAAATCGCATGGCATAAAGATTCATTGCTTATGTTGTCCACATGATCATATTGTGTACTTAGCACAGAGGTTACGCCAAAAAAGTCTTATCCACATCTGTTTTCTATGTCTCATTCAAACATTCTTGACAATGTCTCCTTAAAATGACACAACACTTGTCCTATATAAATACATTCAAACTCCTCATGTTCATTCATTTTCTATCATATAATTCTAACATCTCCATTAGCGTCCTCACAAACAGATATGCATTCCACTAAGCTCAAGGGGGTTTAACAATACATTTGCCATAAATATTCATAAACTAGAGACTTTCAGAGTGCCAAATCCAAAATATTAAAATGAAAAAAAAGGAAAATAAAATGGAGGAGAGGAAAGATCTCTGCCAGCTCCTAATAACAGACTTTATAGGCACAACACGAGACATAACTAGTAAGATCAAAATAAGTTTATTTCAAATAAAGTCTTCTAATATGTAAAAAAAAATGTTTCTTTATTCAAGGTGTGTAAACTGACAATCCTTGTATACTAGACATCAGTGGAAAGGAGCCTCCTGCTGTCCATTCCCTCATCCTTAACCCTGTCTCTATATCCACCTGCCAGACTACTTGGTGCTACAATTATACTTTGGGTCAGTATTTACACTTAAGCATACTCCATGTATTATATATGACATGTTGTATACTGAAATAGTTTGATTGTTACATTATTGTGTAAACTATTATATTTTCTTTATATTTAGCTTGTACCCACATACTCTCACTGTCCTGATGATACTATCTAATTGTAAAACGTATTGACGTATCTGGATTTTGACATGCATGCCTGTGCATATACATTGTTTATCATACAGAAGTGTGCATATACACTATATTGCCAAAAGTATTGGGACACCTGCCTTTACACGCACATGAACTTTAACGGCATCCCAGTCTTAGTCCGTAGAGTTCGATGTTGATTTGGCCCACCCTTTGCAGCTATAACAGCTTGAACTCTTCTGGGATGGCTTTCCACAAGGTTTAGGAGTGTCTATGGGAATGTTTGACCATTCTTCCAGAAGCGCATTTGTGAGGTCAGGCACTGATGTCAGAAAAGAAGGTCTGGCTCACAATCTCCGCTCTAATCTATCACAAAGGTGTTCTATTGGGTTGAGATCAGGACTCTGTGCAGGCCAGTCAAGTTCCTCCACCCCAAACCTCATCCATGTCTTTATGGGCCTTGCTTTGTGCAATGGTGCGCAGTCATGTTGGAACAGGAAGGGACCATCTTCAAACTGTTACCACAAAGTTGGGAGCATGAAATTGTCCAAAATGTCTTGGTATACTGACACCTTAAGAGTTCCCTTTACTGGAACTAAGGAGCCAAGCCCAACCCCTGAAAAACAACCCCACACCATAATCCCCCCTCCACCAAACTTTACACTATGAACAATGCAGTCAGGCTAGTACTGTTCTCCTGGCAACCATTAAGCCCAGACACCTCCATCAGATTGCAAGACAGAGAATCTTGATTTGTCACTCCAGAGAACACGTCTCCACTGTTCTAGTCCAGTGGCAGCATGCTTCACTGCAACCGATGCTTTGCATTGAACTTGGTGATGTAAGGCGTGGATGCAGCTGATCGGTCATGGAAACCCATTCCATTAAGCTCTCTACGCACTGTTGATGTGCTAATCTGAAGGACACACGAAGTTTGGAGGTCTTTATCTATTGACTCTGCAGACAGTTGGTGACTTCTGCGCACTGTGCTATTCAGCATGCGCTGACCCCGCTGTCATTTTATGTGGCCTACCACTTGGTGGCTGAGTTGCTGTTGTTCCAAGTTGCTTCCACTTTATTATAATACCATTAGCAGTTGACCGTGGAATATATAGTAGCAAGGAAATTTCACGGATGGACTTATTGCACAGGTGGCAACCTATCACGGTACCACACTTGAATTCATTGAGCTCCTGAGAGCAACCCATTCTTTCACAAATGTTTGTAGGAGCAGTCTGCATGCCTAGGTGCTTGATTTTATACACCTGTGACCATGGAGGTGATTGGAACACCCAAATCCAATGATCCAATACTTTTGGCAATATAGTGTATATTCAGACTAGCTGATATACCAATCCAGTACAGGGTATTTCTGAATCATTTGATTTTAATTGTCTATATGTGTACTACTTGTTTTTTTTTACATATTAGGAGTTTGTATTTGCAATAAACTTATTTTGATTTTACTATTTATGTCTTGTGTTGTACCAAAAAAGTTTGTTATTGGGAGCTGGCGGAGACTTTTCCTCTTCTCCAGTTTATTTTCCTTTTTTTCATTTGCCATAAATGTCATGAGTTGTCTGTGGTTTTTTAATTCATTCACAGTGCTTGAAGAACTTGAGAATATAGATATAATGAAAGTCAATACTTTATGCACAGTCCATTTTCTATAGCATAGGGGCGGGTTCAAATCCCAGCAGAACTACCGAACTACCTATAGTATTTCTTGGCTTTGTTCTGATACTCAGATTTTTTCCTACAACTTAAATGTTTAATTGGTGAATCCACACCTTGGCCTAATAGAGATGTTAGACTCTAGGATAATTTAGAGGCAGGGACTTATTTGAATGCCTCTAAAAGCTGTGCCCAGCACTGTACACAGTGCAAATTAAGAAAAAAAGTCAATCTTAAAGTGTTACTAAACCCACAACAGTAAAATCAGTCTGAATATGCAGTAAAGCATGCTTGTTATACTCGCTGTGAAATATAATTGGTCAATCCTCTGCATTTTGTAAAAAGGCTGTTTGATCCTTTCTTCTCTGCCCCTCCTCTTGTTGAAATGACCACCTGATACAGACTGAATCCATAGCCACATGCACATGCTATGTTTGATGTGTATTGCTAGAGAGGTTTTTTTCTTGGGAGAGTGCATGTGATCAGCACAGAGCCAATCAGCCTTGTCCACACACAAGGTCAGAGGTTTCACATCCTCCTAGAGCAGAAAGAAAACTCCTCCTACAAGCTTTAACCAGTGCTCTGCTGAAGTCACAAGACTGCTTAAGTGCTGATGAGAAAAGGTGTTTAGCAGTTTATATTTACTAAAATAATTGCTTTCCCATGTTGTGTGAACTGTGGGAGACCAGATATAGTGAATGCAGGGTCCTGGATTTAGTATCACTTTGAAAACCAACCAGCCAGAGCCATACCTTAGCTAGCCATGCCCCAGCATTGTGTACAGCTTAGTTTTGCCCATTCACTGCAGCCCTGAACACATGTACCTGTTTTGATTCTGCCAGTTGATTCTAGGAACTGCTGGTACTTTTCTGAAAAGTAATGGCATATTTGCTAAAATGTTAACGCATAACCTATATTTGGAGGGAGGGTTGTCATAATGAACGGAATCTTGAAAAATATTTATGTAAAATTATTACACCAACAAATCAAAGGGGTTGATTTAGTTGTTCTAGATCTGAAGGGAAGCTTTGAAATGAGGAAAAGCTCTGCTGATTTCCATCACCCAATCATGTGTAAGCAAAAATGCTGTTTTTTATTTTCCTTGCATGCGATTGGGTATTCTTTGCAAAGTGAAGCTTTATCTTATTTGCTAAGCTCTGGAGCAACTGCGCAGTATATTTGCCTTTAGTAAATCAACCCCAATGTGTTATTATCCCTATTACCTATTTCTCCTGACTGAATCTACCCCACCCTCCACAATGTTTACTTACTTTGATCTGCCATTTGTTTACATGCCAATCCAAACATGTTTTTTGAGCTGGCTCAAAATAGCACTGCATGGGCTTCTAAAGCAAACGATAGTCTTCTCTCAAACTCTATGTGGAGCTACTGCGCAGATGCAGTCATCACAAAGAGAGCGTTAGGGGCAGAATGTAAGGTAATGGAAAATCATCAAAAATCACAAACAATATTTCATTTTGGTTTGATTTAACCTACTTGCAAGAATCTCTTAGCAGCAGCATTTGTGTAGGTTATATACTTCGGGAGTCTGTTTATTATTTAATGTCTACTTGTGGATATCCAGTACACCTAGCCTTCTCCCAGTACTTAGACAGTCACTGAGGTTCTAAAAATACTCACTTATTACTGCAGTTTCTGTTTGCAGAGTTTTTATGTGCAAGATTGTCCACAAAACATGCCAGTTCTTAGATTATATGGCATCAATAAAACCTGCTTATCAGTGCTACAAAATGTTATTTGATAGTTTGACCTTTGGAGCGGAATACACTAATGGAAGTTCAAGTTTTTCCATTATAAAATGGAATATGCAAACATCTTTACAGTCCATTCAAGAACAACTACCTAAAATGTTAATAACTTGTTCAATGCTACAATTATTTACTTTATATTTTAACTTTGTGTTAATATTAATATTTGTATTCATAAATTTGTGTTATATTTAACCACTTGCCCTCCTGAGGATTTACTCCCCTTCCTGACCAGGCCATTTTTTGCATTACGGCACTGCGTTACTTTAACCTCCATAGCAGTCTGATTATGTCCATATTTCTGTGCTCAAAGCGGTACATTTTTTTGCATGGAAATATATATTTTTTTTTACTGTAGGCCTGTAATTTTTAGGAATAACTCACTGAAATCTGTCCGAACAAGAGTCTAGTAAACATCCCGGGTAGGATAAAACTTGAAACACAAAATCATAAATTATAATTTATTAAATAATCATAAAAAAGAATAATATAATAATAATAAATTTAATTCAATGATGTAATCGAACCAAAAAACACTGAAATTTGAAATAGAGCGCCAAGTTCGCACATCACTGAGCAAAAGTCGCAAAATCGTTTTCAGTGTCTGATGACGAATTTCCCCACGAATCATTATCACTCAATTCTGCAAGTGGTTCTAATTTACTATCGCTGTTCTCTAGCTGGTCTAAAACCACTTTTGACCTAAACTGACGCTTTTTGGACGCCATGGACATTTCTCAGTTTCCAGGCAGAAAGAACGGTAAAAATGCAGGCAGGGCACAGGACAAAGCACTAGGGACAAAATGTATGTGAAATGGTTTGATACAGTAATGTTTTACTATGTGATTTTAGTGATTTTAGTGAATGTCACTTTTTGTCATTTTCAAATTTCCCGCCGTTCTGTCCCCCGTACGTCCCGGGGAACGGAACCCAGAGGACAGATGCCGGCATCCGCCGGATTACATTGCCAGGGACACTGCAGGAGGGACATCGCAGGAGAGCAGAACAAGGTAAGTGATCGAGGGATCCCGGAGCAGCGCCGCATGGTAAGCCCGAGTGTAGCTCGGGGTTACCGCTTCTGGTACTGAAACTTTACCCCGAGCTACACTCGGGAATACTGCCAGGGAGGTTAACTGACAATTGCGCGGTCATGCAATGCTGCACCCAAATGAAATTTACATCCTTTTTTTACCACAAATTGAGATTTCTTTCAGTGGTATTTGATCACCTGTGCGTTTTTTATTTTGCGAGATGCGCTATAAAAAAAAAATACCAACAATTTTGAGAAGAAAAAACAATGTTTTTGACTTTTTGCTATTAAACATGTGCAGTAAAAAAAATTTTAAAATCTAATTTCATCATAAATGTAGGCCAAAATGTATATCTTTGCTAGAAAAAAAAAATCCCAATACGTCTAAATGAATTGGTTTACGTGAAAGTTATAACGTTTACAAATGGCGGTATATATACTGGAATTTTTTTTTTTTTACTAGTAATGGCGGCGATCAGCTACTTATAGCAGTACTGCGGCAGACATTCTGACACTGGGGGGAACTGACTTGGTGTCACTGACATCCCCAAGGACACCAATACGGTGATCAGTGATAAAAAAAAAAGCATTGACACTGTGCTAATGGCACTGGGCAAGAAGGGGTTAACATGAGGGGCGATGAAAGGGTTAACTGTGTGCTGGGAGTGTTTAACTGGGGGGCGGTGTGTTGGTGCTTCACTGTAAGCACACTGCTCTGGATGGCTGTGATTAGCACAGTCATCCAAAGCAGTGTGCCCAAGCTGACAGGGAGGAGGACTGTTAGTAAACAAAGTAGCCCTCCTCCCTGTCGGAAATCCTCGGTAATCAATGAGTGCCAGCGGGTAATCACAGGCCGGGACCCGGTGATTGACAGCTGCGGCCACAAATGGCGGCTTGGGTAGGGCGCACACACGCTGCCTACCTGATTATACAAAATCGTATCTATATATGTGATTTTGCGCACCCCTGCCACCCTGTAGCAGTATATCTGCTATAGGGCTGTCGAGATGTAGTTAAAGCAGATATAATGATAAACAAAGGTTGTCTTTTCAGCAGCTTTGCACATGTATATATATATATTATAAGAAATGGTCTGCCAGTAGCATTAATCCAGTACTTTTTGTTTTTTGTGTCCCAATGAAACATAGTTTTATTACCTGTTGATCCTGCCAATAAGTCTGTTATTTTTCAATTTCCATTCCAAAAGTGACAGAAGGTCGAGATAAATCATTTAAACTGATAGGGATGCTTACAATGGTTAGCTTTTATTCATATAATGAAACCTTGACCCCAGAAGAAAAATGCTGTTGCTGTAGTGTGTGTTTGAGTTAGGCATTAATTTGTTTGTCATTTATTTAGATGTAAAGTCCATCCAAAGTTAACCATACAGAGATATACACTATATTGCCAAAAGTATTGAGACACTCCTCCAAATCATTGGATGCAGGTGTTCCAATCGCCTCCATGGCCACAGGTGTATACATCAAGCACCTAGGCATGCAGACTGCTTCTACAAACATTTGTGAAAGAATGGGTCGCTCTCAGGAGCTCAGTGAATTCAAGCATGGTACTGTGATAGGTTGCCACCTGTGCAATAAGTCCATCCATGAAATTTCCTTGTTACTAAATATTCCGCAGTCAACTATTAGTAGTATAACAAAGTGGAAGCAGCTGGAAACAACAGCAACTCAGCCATGAAGTGGTAGGCCACGTAAAATGACAGAGCGGGGTCAGCGCATGTTAAAGTGCAGTGTGCGCAGAAGTCGCCAACTGTCTGCAGAGTCAATAGCTGTGGCCGTCAGATTAGCACAACGACAGTGCTTAAAGAGCTTCATAGAATGGGTTTCCATGGCCGAGTAGCTGCATCCAAGCCTTACATCACCAAGTGCAATGCAAAGTGTCGGATGCAGTGGTGTAAAGCACGCCACCACTGGACTCTAGAGCAGTGGAGATGTGTTCTCTGGAGTGAGGAATCATGCTTCTCTGTCTGGCAATCAGATGGTGTGGGGTTGTTTTTCAGGGGTTGGGCTTGGCTCCTTAGTTCCAGTGAGGGGAACTCTTAAGGCATCACCAAGACACCAAGACATTTTGGACAATTTCATGCTCTCAACTTTGTGGGAACAGTTTGGGGATGGCCCCTTCCTGTTCCAATATGACTGTGCACCAGTGCACAAAGCAAGGTCCTTAAAGACATGGCTTAGTGAGTTTGGGGTGGAGGAATTTGACTGGCCTGCATAGAGTCCTGACCTCAACCCGATAGAACACCTTAAGGATGAATTAAAGAGGAGACTGCGAGCCAGGCCTTCTCATCTGACATCAGTGCCTGACCTCACAAATGCACTTCTGAAAGAAAAGTCAAACGATCCCATAGACACACTCCTAAACCTTGTGGACAACCTGCTAACGCTGTTATATACACTGCTCAAAAAAATTAAAGGAACACTTTTTAATCTGAGTATAGCATCAAGTCAATTAAACTCCTGGGATATTGATCTGGTCAGTTAAGTGGCAGATGGGGTTGTTAATCAGTTTCAGCTGCTTTGGTGTTAATTAAATTAACAACAGGTGCACTAGTTGGGCAACAATGAGATGACTCCCAAAACAGGAATGGTCTTACAGGTTGAGGTCACTGACATTTTTTTCCCTGCTCATCTTTTCTGACTGTTTTTCACTAGTTTTGCATTTGGTTAGAGTCAGTGTCACTACTGGTAGCATGAGGCGATACCTGGACCCTACAAAGGTTATACAGGCAGTCCAACTCCTCCAGGATGGCACATCAATACGTCCCATTGCCAGAAGTTTCTCCCAGCACAGTCTCAAGAGCATGGAGGAGATTCCAGGAGAAAGGCAGTTACTCTAAGAGAGCTGGACAGGGCCTTAGAAGGTTCTCATCAGCAGGACCGGTATCTGCTCCTTTGTGCAAGGTGGAAAAGGATGAGCACTGCCAGAGCCCTACAAATTGACCTCCAGCAGGCCACTGGTATGAATGTCTCTGACCAATCAGAAACATACTTCATGAGGGTGGCCTGAGGGCCCAACATCCTCTAGTGATTCCTGTGCTCACTGCCCAGCAGCATAGAACTCGGTTGGCATTTGCCATTGAACACCAGAATTGGTAGGTCTGCCACTTGTGCCCTGTGCTTTTCACAGATGAGAGCATGTTCACCCTGAGCACATGTAACAGACATGAAAGGGTCTGGAGAAGCCATGGGGAACATTATGCTGCCTGTAACATCGTTCAACATGACCATTTTGGTGATGGGTCAGTGATGGTCTGGGGAGGCATATCCATGGTGGGGCATACAAACCTCTACAGTCTAGACCAGGGGTGGGCAAACTTTTTGACTTGAGGGCCGCAATGGGTTCATATATTGGACCCGGGGGCCGGACCAAGAGTAGATGAATGATGTGTATGTGTCATCCATAGTAAGTATAGTAATATTCCCCCATAGTAAGCATAGTAATTAATCCCCCATATAGTAATTCATCCCCCATAGTAATTCATCCCCCATATAGTAATTCATCCCCCATAGTAATTCATCCCCCATAGTAATTCATCCCCCATATAGTAATTCGTCCCCCATATAGTAATTCATCCCCCATAGTAATTCATCCCCCATAGTAATTCACCCCCCCATAGTAATTCATCCCCCATATAGTAATTCATCCCCCATAGTAATTCATCCCCCCATATAGTAATTCATCCCCCATAGTAATTCATCCCCCATAGTAATTCATCCCCCATATAGTAATTCATCCCCCATAGTAATTCATCCCCCATAGTAATTAATCCCCCATATAGTAATTCATCCCCCATAGTAATTCATCCCCCATATAGTAATTCATCCCCCCTATAGTAATTCATCCCCCATATTAATTCATCCCCCATATTAATTCATCCCCATATTAAGTCCCCAAGTCCCCCCTGTGTCAATTCACTTACCTTTGCTCCGCGCGTTCCTCTCGCCGTGTTCCCGCGCCGTTCTGGTGTAGCATGAAAATTTGTCTCCTATGAGGATCTGTCCCCCTCGACGTATCTGCGCATGTGCCAGTTTCAGGCATTAGCAGCCGATCGGCGATCTCCGACACATGCGCAGATACGTTGAGGGGGACAGATCCTCATAGGAGACAGATTTTCATGCTACACCGGTCTTCAGGGCAGACTGTGAGAGGAGCCTAGCGGGAGCCTAGCTCCGCGGGCCGGATTAAAAGGTCCACCAGGCCGAATACGGCCCGCGGGCCGTAGTTTGCCCATTGCTGGTCTAGACAATGGCACCCTGAATGCCATTAGGTATTGGAATGAAATACTTGGACCCATTGTCAGATCCTACACTGGTACAGTGGGTCATGGGTTCCTCTTGGTGCATGATAATGCCCGGCCTCATATGGCAAGATCATGCAGGCAGTTCCTGAAGGATGATAGAATTGATACCATTGAATGATCCCCTAAATCCAGTAGAACACCACTGGGATATCATGTTTTGGTCCATCTGACGGCGCCAGGTTGCACCTCAGACTGTCCAGGAACTCAGAGATGCCCAGGTCCAGGTCTGGGAGGAAATATCCTAGGACACCATCCGTCATCTCATAAGGATTCTGCCCCGACATTGTCAGGCATGCATACAAGCACATGGGGGCCATACTGAGTACCATTTTGAGTTGCTGCAATTACATTTCAACAAAATGGACTAGCCTGCTGCATAATTTTTTCACTTTGAATTTTGGGGTGTCTTTGAATTCAGTCCTCTGTAGGTTGATAATTTTCATTTCCATCAAACGATGGGGCATCTTCACGTTCATAACACATTACCCAGTCCATATCAGTATAGATATTCAGCATATCTTTCCCCATTTAGATCTGATGTGTTTTCAAAGTGTTGCTTTATTTTTTTTGAGCAGTGAATATATATATATATTTATTTATTTTCATTTTTTTTTTTGTCTACACTGCAGAATCTACCAGATTTCTCCATATTGTATGCATCTCCCACAAAAACTATTCTATTCTGCCAGCCAGCACCAGTGGTTGTTAGAATACCCAAACAGCAGCTGCATCTAATTGGATGCAGCCGCTGTTCATCCAACAATTGTCCGTGTGACTCTTTTGAACTTTCAGTTGAAGACTGGTGACAGGGCCACCTACATTCATATAGTGTATGAGCAGCCCATCTG